AGTTGGCACATCCACTAGCTCTGCAGCACAACAATCAAGTAAAGGTATTCCACAACTTTTTATATGCTATTGCATTACATTTATATCAAGTGAGCAATTAACATGCTAATGATCTTTTCTTTTAATGAACAGGGAAGAGAAAAGTGAGTCATGTTGAAGATGAAGATGACATGGCATTCATAGATACAATTGGAGAAGAAGATTCACTTGAAGACCCATTTAGTGATGGGATATGATTTCATTTTATATGTTTTTTGTATTTTGGGAGTTTTGTTAAACTAATATTTTGTGATTTTGTACTTTGGGACATGATTTTATTGCATCTACTTTCTTATTTTCCACTATTGCTATTATTTTGCTGCTAAAACCCTTAATTTTTCATTTATGCAATTCTGTGTTCGTGAGGCTTACGCCTCAGACTGCCTCGAGGTTTACGCCTCGCCTCACGGACAAAAACCGCCTCGAGGCGCAGTTACGCAATTTTAAACCTTGACTAAAAGATACCAAGGCATTACACAGTGAGGATGGCTCCACAATAAAATGGGCTAGCAAAGAGCTTCAATCGGACCATTCTTGAAAAGATTATGTGAAGTAATGCAATGTTGCCTAAAAGCTTTATAGTTAAATCAATCAGCACTATAATATATTTGATCAATAGAATTTATGTTAGCATCACGCATGACAAGCTTGAGATGGAATAAAATGCATATTTATCATCTATCCTAAAAAAAGTAAAAGAGTATAAGTTTTGGTGCTTGGAGCTAGGATTGATAAAATGTAAAATTAGTAGGGATATTGTATTCAATAAACAGCAAATAACATTATTTCAACAAATAAAGCACAAGACAAGTTAATCGATGTTAAAGAGAAAACAAAGCTTCATGTAGAGCAACCAAGACAAGAAGTTATGATGCCAATGCTTGAGAACTGACTAAAGCGTATTCTAAGAATCAACATAGTAAGCTATTTAAGAAAAGCAAAGAATTTATGGCTTGTCAAGAACAACAAAAGTATGGGCATGTTGATTGCATAGCATCTGCTGTTGTTACAAATTTGATGAATGAAGATAAACCAAAATCATTCAAAGAAGCCACTGAGACTAATGAAAGAAATCAATGGCAGTAAGCTATGCAAGAAGAAATGTTGTCATTTAACAAAAAAAAAATATTTAGGGATTGGTAGATAGACCAAATCACGAAAAGGTAATTAGTTGCAAGTGGTTATCCACAAATAAGAAAGGTTCTACTGAATATAAGGGAATTAAACTCAGAACAAGACAGTTGCAAAAGTGCTTCTCAGAAGAAAAAGGTGTGTACGTAAATGAAATATTCTCTCCTATTGTTAGGTACACATCAATCAAGATGCCATAGTTAAATTCAAATGTGTCTTGAGCAAAGGGATGTGACTGACGTCTCTTCATGGAGAGTTAGAATAAACTATATACTTGAATCAAACTAATGGTTTCATTTAAGGGTGAGTTGAAAATCAAATATTCCTTCTTAAAAGATCCTTACAAGGGGTTAAGCAATCATAAAGGTTTTAATGTATGAAGCTTGAGCGCATGTTGAAGGTTAATTTTATAAGAAGCGGTTATGATTCATGTATTTATTATAAGAATAAAGGAGTTTAAAAAAAGAATTATCTCCTTTTGTATGTTGATAACATGCTTATTTCAAGTGAAAGCAAGGTGAAAATATCAAAAATTAAAAGAATGTTTCTAGCCAAATTTGAAATGAAAGACTTGGACACTACGAAGAAGATTTTTGGGATGGTGATAACAAAAGCAGATTTTCTAAAAAAACTACTTATATTCAAAACTTCATGCTTTAAAAGCATGCTTTAGAGGTCTGAAATGTAGAGTTCAAAAGTTGTTTGATACCTTTGGTTTAGCATATGAAGCTAATCAAAGATTAATTGTCAAAAAATGATAATGAGAGGATGCACATGCTACGAGTATCATGCCAAAATGCAATTTTGAGCATCATGTGCATTATGTATAGTTATGGTTTGAAGCAAACTTAATTTGGCATGCGTTGCGTGTAGTTAGGATGCATATGGCTAATCAAGTAAAACAATGGGAGGCATTGAAATGTGTTCTAAGGCATATCAATGGACAATATAAAATGAACTTGATTTTGCAACAAATGTGAACACTAGAAAATCTTTGATTTATTTTGTATTTAAATCCCCTTTGGAAACAAGCAGTTAGAAATCATTTTCATAGAATGTGGTGGCTCTATCAAATACATTATCAGCATACATAGATATGCATAAAGCTCTGAAGGAAATCCTTTGGAGAAAGTGAATAATGTGTGAAACACAAAATTAAAATGCTTTACCTGCAGCCTCTATTTGATCACAAGCAAGGTGTTGTTTGTTAGTTCAAAAATTCACATTCATTGCGAAAGAACAAAGCATATGGATGTGAAATTATATTTTATTAAGGATGTGGTAATCAAAGAATTGGTAAAGATCATGAAAATTTCAATACATCACAATCCTACAAACAACATAACAACGGCTCTGCCTATAAATAAATCTCATTGTTGTTTGGAAATTTTGAATTTGGTTCCAAACTGAGTAAATTTGATATAAAACCAAGGCGGAGATTACTATGGTTTTATATCTCTACCTGTCAGTGTTTGCTTGTTGTTTGTCTTCACAAATAACCCAATAAATTATAACCAGAATAGTAGCAAGTTAGTTACTCCAATTATTATTTTCATGTTGTATAGCCTTAAGTATGAATTATAATACATATCCAATAATGTCATAATTGTAAGCAAAAGTTCTTAATTCAGTTCTAATGAGAATTCCTCTTTTTCATTCCCTCTTCTCTCTCCCTCTTTGTTCTTAACAATGAGCTATATTGAAGCTGGAACCATGAGAATCTGTTGCAGCCATTCTAGTTCATTGTTTTTGGTTTGAAACCATAGGAGGCCAAGATAATTGTTGCAAGTTTTAGGTTCCTTCTTGTTGTCTTCAATTGCAAGAGTCCTAGATGAGGAACAAAGTGATGATCAAATTGAAGAACAAGTGTTGTTCGAAAACTTGAATCCAAGGAAGGAGCAAGGCTAACAAAAGTGGAGAACCCTTGATTCAATGATGGTTTTAATCAAAAAAGTGTTGAATCATATTCTTCTCTCATAGATGAAGAGGTTACTTCCAAAGTAAAGATTGAGTGTGTGAAATGGAGGTGCAGCACAATTTCTATGTGATGACAAGATATCATAAAGAATTTTGTAAAATTGCAATTACACTAACAATGCTTTGTATTCAAGTGTCAGCAACAAAACAAATCATGACAAACGAATCTCATGTCTAAGAGAAATGAGAATGTTTAGATAGGCCCACGAACAGAAAGGATAAAATGAAAGCTAAATGAAAAAAAAAACAGGTACACCAAACATGGCTTGAAATCATGCAAGTGACTTGTATATAGAAACACTGATTTTGTAATCCACAAGAATGAGTGAAGAATGATTTATTAAGTTGACCCCAAATGCAACAGATAAGATTATGAAGCTAATAATAATGATTAAAGCAAATTCACACACACCCCTCCCCTCCCAATAAAAGTCAAGATAAGTTCATTTGTTCAAACTCATTCATGACATCCAAGCATTTTCTTTGACATAATCTTTAAGTTGTGGTACATTTATCCTAGCTTTTCTGACAAGTTGATTGATATTTTTTCTAATTAAAAAATAATAATCTAATTAAACATTCTCCAACTAATAAAAACATAATCTTCATAATGCATTTCAAAGTGAATCAACAAAACGGGGAAAAAAACTAGAAGAGCATAACTTATGTGAACATTTACTCTTTAAATTTTATAACAATATTCAATTTGCAATGCACATCCATATTTAACCTGCTATTAAGAATCATCGAATCAATTATTCTCCTCTGATATAAACATAACTTTCATTGTGCAATTTGAGGAGAATACAAGATAAAGAAGAATAAAAACTACACTACATACTAAGTACACATTTGCTGAGTAATTTTCATAAATAAAGGGTAATCAACTCACACGTGCCCTACAACTAGTCAATAAAAAGCTCTTAAAACCATCAACGACCTTTTCAAGAAGACCTCAAAATAAAATAAAACAGGTAGCATTCATGAAAATATAGGATTTAAGCATACTCAACTAAACAAAATATAACTTTATTAATATAATCCGCCTTATCACAACTATTTGGGGACAATTTTATGAAACTCCCTTCTTCATTCATTCTTGTTGGGTGTTATTTAGGGAAGTATATCTGATTTACACCTCTTTTTTTTTGCACAACTTCTATTCATGATACTTTAATCTACCCATTATTTTCATAATCCTTCCACACTCATTTTATCTACTTGTCTCATTAGTGCATCAACTATCATTTATTTCACAAGCTTAAGCAATTTATTTTCATTTCTACATTCTTATTTTCAATAGGTAGCTATTTTCAATAGGTGCTACCCCCACAATCCCTCGCAATAATCAATTTTACATCCATTGAGTCAGTATGATCTAAGTTTGACAATTTAAAAAAAATCACTATTATTCATAAGGATTTGAAAGAGATTAAAAAACACTGAAGGCAATGATACTAACCCATATTGCTCGATTTCTCTAGACATTGATACCTGAAAAATAAAAATAAAAAGGCAACCATTAGCTGACATGGTACAGACTTTGAAGAGAGATCACTATAGAAATTTTGTCCTATAACTCATGAATGTCAAAACTTAGTTAAATTTTTTGAAATCATCAAGCACAAAAGTAGATATCAAATACAACAAAACAAGTCTGTATATTACAATAGTGAACATTGAAAGAGTAGCAAAGGAGAATGACTGAGGGCACTAGGACGTAATTCAATAAAATGCTAATGATGCCAAAATGCACCATGATGGTTGATGAGGGTGGGTCGACAGTTTGAGAAAGAGCTCAAACTTATTACCCCCTCATCAGATGTCAGAGAAGCCCCAGCTCATTCCTCGTTGCGCACATAGAGTGCCCGCTTTGCATAGCTAGTAAGCCCTCTTCTTTAACATTCCCCACGTCAGTAAATACTGAAAGATTATTAATTACAAAGTAAAATTTCATATTATTAATGTTCTGTATTCATTTCAAGGGGCTCCACTACTTCATGCAATTACTAGTTATATATCTGGTTATCCAAGATCAAAAATTCTTTTGTTATACAAAGCAAGCAACAAAAAATTTATGATAATCTAAACAGAAAATTAATTTAAACAAATGCTTATAATGGTTCAAATGGCAGCAACTCTGAACATAGCCAATGTCTTCGAAGGGCAGATGGATTCCTAGAACTAAAGTCGTTAACATAGTAGACATCAGGTAATATGAATTATGAAAAAATAAGAAGCAAGGAGAAAATGGAAAGTGGTATGCTTCTTGAGGAAGGATAGTTTAATGCTTAATTAATCATGTTGTGCTATCTAATCCAATAACTTTTCATTAAATACTATCATGTCATTCAACAGTAACAAATAATAAATTTATGTAAAAATTTCATGTATCAGCTAACGCTTCATTTAGGACAGCTTTCTTACTTTTTTATAAAGTTATTGCAGAGAAAATAAGTTTTTAAAGTTGATGAAGAAAGTAACTTCCTAGTATAAAATTTTAATGAAAATAGTTGTTGTTGTGGCATGAAAAACAAAGTAGTAAGAAAGTTGTCCCAAATGAAGCCCAAATTTATGATTGAACAAGAGCACATCATCAAACAAAGGGCTAAGGAGTGGATATCACCATAAACCTCATCACGAGCAGCAGCCTTTGACGCCCTGAGAGGGGAGCGTGAACTATGTCTTCTACTGTGGCTACGCTCGGTAAAGACAGCACCATCGCGCCTTGAAGATCTAGAAGATCCATCATCGTGGCTTTCTTGCCCAGACCTTCTCTCACTTGGACCATCCCTGCCCTCCCCACGTTCTCGGTGTCTCCCCTTGTCTTGTTCTTCCCTGCTAGAGTTTTTACCATGCTCTCTTTCCGCCAACTTTTGGGTCTCCCTGTCGGCTTGAACTCTTCTTAGCCTTTTCGTGCGAGGAGAAGGCGAACTTGAATGAGACTTTTGCCTGGTTTGTTTTGGTGACCTAACGCGATCAGGTAGCTTTTCTTTCACGGGCGATCTCCCCCTCTTTGAATAATTGTTTCTATATGGAGAACTAGTTCCCGGAGGAGGAAACCGCTCACCCCTTGGAGAGCTTCCTCTGTGAGGGGAATGACGTCTTCTGACCACTGAATCTGACCTGTCTGGTGAATGCTGCCTGGAGTACTCTCTGCGCTCCACAGCAGGGGACATTTTTAGCAGAGGGTCCAATCTTCCTGCATAAGAAACTATTCATAAAAAATCAAGCACAAAAATCATCCCACTCAAAATGATAACAAAAACCCTGATATACGTTCATTAATAAGCAATAGGCAACATCAGCAGGAAATACTACATTCTTGAGCCAAACAGACAACCCTTTCAGGATGACCAAACTTTTGAACGGGAATGGATAAAGAAAGCCGATCCTTGAAACCACGAAGTGGCTACTGAACTCTGAGCCAGTGCATCATTTTCCTCCAGACCTCCCGCAGCAAAAGAAAACCTAAAATTATCGAGTAATCCAATACACCTATAAACCCTAGAGCACGATATTTTTCTTATATAGGGAATACGCTGAAGAAAGGATTGGTCACGAACGAGACAAAAAAACATAGAGATGAACTTACCCGATCAAAGCCCGGTGAAAACGCATGAACACTATATCAAGAGCTTGCTATGGAGGACTTCGCTGAGATGAGATCAGATAGGTAAAACTTGGTGAAGATGTCGAAGCGAGGGGTTGGAGGAGAACCGGAGATTAGCGAAAAAAAACTGCGTGAGTCAAGCCAACTCGTGAGTTGGGCTGCAATGATATGAGCTCATCAGTAAAATTTATGCCAGTTCTGTATCTATCAGCTCACTTTAAAAATATTAATATAAAAGGTATTAATATGTAAAAGTATAAGTAATAAATTGTTTAAAATATTTAAAAGCTATTTTGTATTTTTTATATTAAATGATAATTTTTTTTATTTTTTTTGCTATCTAATTATACTAATTATTTAAATTATAATCATTTTCTCTCTTCTAAATAAACAAGCCATTAAATAAAGCTCAAAATCTAGGATGAACTCGATTAATTAATCAAACTCAAGGACTCGTTTATATCACAACATAACTTGATAAGACCCACAGAAAGGTCAAGCCCTATCGTGTTGATTAGCAACATGTCGAACCTAAAATTTGAGTTTTGAAAATATTTAAGAATTCTCATCCAATTTTAACTTTAAAACAAATAACAATTATAGAGAAGCTAACAACATGAAGAATATTGAAAATAAAATAACCTACATTTTTTTCATTTCATCATAAAAAATACAATAATTACACTACATTACATGACTACATATCGGAATACTAGATAGAACAGATCAAATAATTAACTATGATTGTACAAAATTCAAGGTAGAAAAAGAAAGGCCTATACAAATTCAAATCATATCCTAAAATTGCTACTCAACTAGCCCCTTCTCTCTCTTAAACTCTGAAAATAGAAAGTAAAATGACTGTGGGCTATCTAGCTCAGCAAACCACATTTATCAATCCAAATTTTTAAATGAATCTATTATTAATCATTTAATTGAGTGTTAAAAGTAATATAAAAAATTATTGTACTAAGCATAATAGTAATTGCATTTATCTGGAATTCAAATAAGCGTACTAAGAAAATAAGTAAGCAAGTATTTCATATCAGATAGAATTCAAATAATTCTAATCCTTATGCCCCTCAATAGATATATTTCAAAGAATTATAACCCTTATTACTCTCCATAAACAAAATTCATAGAATTCTGGCCCTTATGCCACCCAATGAACAAAATGAGCATAAAAGCATTAGAATGCGCCCTTAGCATCTGAATGTGCATTTAGCACCAGAACGGAACTTCCTCCATCCATAACAAAAATTCTCATCATCACACAATTTAATCAAATAAACACATAATTTATTGCAGTGGAGTAACAAGTATATAAATAAGCCCATTTGAGAAATTACCAAAATGTCTTAACGGTGGACAGTAGAATACACTATTGTGCTAAAATTCATTATTTCATAATCTAACCAAATTACTAGAGATTATTCAAAATTTTATTTAAAGATTTTAATTATACTACAAAATTATTTTTCAGAGTTGGATTATTTTGTAATCAATTAAAATGACATAATTCTTAAAATTCTTGGTGTAAAATTAAAAAAAACTAAATATTCATAAAATGTCTATATAGCATATCGAAAGTTGTGCGGTGAAAGCTTTGTAGATAATAAGTTGTCCCAATTTTTTACTAACGAATTTATGAATTAAATAAGAAAATTCCAGAAAAAAATAATATTTTTAAAAATTAAGATAGGCAAATGTTGCCTACTTCGATCCGAGCAACTTTCAAAGCTAAGTCATTAATCGAAACTGACCGAAAGCAACCTTAAGGAATAAATGAATTGACATTTTAGTGAAGTTGATATTTAAATAAGGAATTCAGACCGAGCGCCCGCCACGACTCTTCCTTTGGGAGGCCACAACGCCGCAGTGCCACCCCAACGCAAATGCACCTTTTTTTTTTCAAAATTCTAATGAGCTTAGTACAAGAGCGCTGCTAACCTAGCAACATGATGCCTAAGAGAAAATTTTATACTTTTCCAAACATGCAAATATACGCCCAGGACTTATTTTATAATACATGTAGACTTTCACATGCACCCAAAATATTCACAAATACATACAAAAAAGTTTGAAAAAAAAATAACGTATTACCTTGAATCTGTTAAGATCAGATTGGGTTGAATTGCACACTAACTTTCTAAGTGTTTGATATGTCGTGGAAGCAAAAATAGCAAGTAAAAGAGAGGAAAAATGTAGGAACACCAAGATAGGGATGATTTTTTTTGGATTATTCCTTCATTAATAAAGTGATATACAATTGATCTGCCATTTAAGAAATAGATCAACTATCCCAAAAATCTTAGACACTGCTAGTAACTCACAACAACATATGAAAATAAAACTCATAATAGCTTAAACTAAACCCTAGAAAACTCCCCCTTAAATAGCCCTAAAACATAACAATATAAATAAAACCTTCCTAATCAACATAAATATAATTTAGAAAATCTTCCTAAATAATTAAACCCTTCCTAATTAGCCTAAACATAATAAAAGAAACATTCTTAATCAATTACCAACATAAAAATCTTCATAATTATTTTCTTTCTTATATAGTGAATATTAACTTTTCTTGGGCCCCACGAGGGGGCCGAAAACCCCTCCGTATTACTCCTTTTGGTGGGCCTAGCGATTTTCTGAGATTTGGTCAATCTGGGCCATTTGGCTTGCTCCCGCTCTACTCTGGTGTAACAATACCCCCTCCAAAAGACTCATCTTGTACTCAAGGTAGAAAAATGGAAACTACTGCTTCACCCTCTCACATTACTTCCATTTAGTGTCATAGTTGGGTATGTTCTTCCATTTTATCAGTACTTCATTGATCCCTCCCTTTCCCTGTCGTACCCCTTCTAAAAGTTTGGTGTAGGATGTTAAGCCTAAGTGAATTGTTTTTAGGTACACCAAGAGAGGAGTGAATTGATAGTTTTTAAAAATTAATTACTAGCTTTAAAATACAAAGCTTATATCTTGGGATTTTTTTATAATTAAAAAACAAGCAATACTTTCACCTGAAGTGAAAGCTAAGAAACTATTCATAGGTTAAAATAGTGTTGATGATAGTTTAATCAACACAATGATATATTAATCATAGATTTTTAACAAGTAATTATCACAAAAATAAAATGCGTGAAAAGTAAAGTACAGAAAAATAAATGTTAGAATTAGTACACCAGATTTTTATAGTGCTTCGGTCAAGTAATGACTTGCATCCACACCTAAAGTCCTTATCTTTGAGTATTGCACTAAACATTTAGTGTCTCTCCTTTAGCCTCCATAAATAGGCGAAGAAGCACTTATAATTTTTTTATCAACCTAGAGCGGCAAAGAACCTTGACCTTTTTTTACCCTCTTAGTGAAGGCAGAGAACCTCAACTAATTTTTCATCCTCTAGGTGAAGGCAAAGAAGCTCACAATCCTTTTTACTCCCTCCCGATGAAGGTAGAGAACCTCACACTCCTTTTTCACCCTCCAAGTGAAGGTAGAGAACCTCGAATCACTATTACCTTCCTCGATATAGTAGATTTGCAAGGCCCTTTGAGATCAAAGATATCTTCTTCCCAAAGCTTCCCTCAAGACAAATCTTAACATAGAGTAACTCAAGTGTAAGTTTACCAGATAAACTAGTGGAACTCTCTCTCTCACTCACTTGAACCCTACAAGGATCTTCTCACTCTCTCATAAACTCCATCATTTTCTTCCCAATATCTAGGCTATCTTTTCAAGCTTTTTTCAAAAGAAAATAACTTAATAAAAGTAAAAAAGACTCTTACAAAGACTTATGAGAAAGCTTAAATAGAGGGTTTCAAAAAAAAAAAAAAATTAATTCATTCTACACTGATCGTACAGTGCAATTAGTTCAAATAGCCATATTAGTATTATATGAAAAGTAAGGTGTTATATGATCAATTTAGGTAAATGAGTTGATTTTCCAGTACGATTAGTTCAAATAACTTGGATTATCATCTCATACGATTGGTGACAAATAAATATCATCTCATATAAAGATCGGGTTGTACAGTATAATTAGTTTTAATCATCATGTGTTCTGACTCGATCAATTAATTAAAAATTGTTCCCCAAATTATAAGATTTAATTTATCATACATTTTGATACCTATTGTACGATCCAATTAGTGCAAATTTTTAATTTCAAAATATTGTATACATTATGATTGATGACTGAGATCTTGATTTCAACTGATCGTCATGTATGATTAGCTTAAATAGCTTTAAATATTATAATTAGTCATTCTAATGATTTTTCTAGTAGTTGGTCATACAATACGATATGGATAATGTTGAAACTTGTTAATTATGAATTAGGTTGTTAGACATAAACTTATGTCCTAATGGCTAACCAATAGGAGGGGTGAATTAGTTATTAAAAAATTATCCTCTTGTTAATTCGAATTGTAAGAGTTTAAAACCGATGAAATGTTTAGTAGTTTTAAAAATAATTTTTCAACCACAGATATCAACAAAATTAAAAAATAAAAAATAACGAAAAAAATAAAAGACACAATATTTATAATGGTTTGGTCAAACACTACCTATATCCACTCCCTGAAGTCTCCCACTTCAGGTATTGCACTATTACCACTAGTGTCTCTCCTTTTGCCCTCACAGCAAGGCGGAGAAGCCTTCACAAAAACTCTCTTCCACCACTACCCGGTGCGGCAGAGAACCGTTGTCCTTTTACACCCTCCAAGTATAGGTAGAGTACCGTTGTCCTTTTACGCTCTCCAAGTGTAGGCAGAGAACCTTCGGCTGTTCACACTCTCCAAGTGTAGGCAGAGAACCTTCGGCTATTCTCACTCTCCAAGTGTAGGTAGAAAACATTCGGCTGTTCACACTCCTCGAGTGTCGGCAGAGAACCTGATCTTTTTGAAAGATCTCCTCACGAGAAAGCTAGAAGGACAAGATAAAAGAGTGAAGTAGTCACAAATCACAAACAGAGATCCTTACCTTTGAGTAACCAAGTGAACCCTTCACGCTCCAGTAGTAAAAAATCTCCTTCACACACTCTCTCTCACTTTCTCCTTCAAATTCTCTTTAATATGCACGAAGACCAAGTGACAAAAAGATTTAAAGACAGTCTAACTTTGACAATTTATAGAAAAGACACGAAAAATCGTCCAAAAACTATATTTTTCAATT